TAAAAGGAAGAAAACTTCTAGAAAATTATAAAAGGAAGAAAACTTCTAGAAAATTATAAAAGGAAGAAAACTTCTAGAAAATTATAAAAGGAAGAAAACTTCTAGAAAATTATAAAAGGAAGAAAACTTCTAGAAAATTATAAAAGGAAGAAAACTTCTAGAAAATTATAAAAGGAAGAAAACTTCTAGAAAATTATAAAAGGAAGAAAACTTCTAGAAAATTATAAAAGGAAGAAAACTCCTAGAAAAGCTAGTTAAATCTTAAAAAGAAATAGTTTTTGATAAGTAAAATTGTAGTTATAACATAAGTGCATATTTTATTCTATTTAAAATGTTAGTAATATTAAACATAAAATGGGTAATTTTAATCTGATTTTGAATATAAACATTTGTAAACCTTACTATGAATCTAAATAAAAAAGCCACACTGCGTAATAACTAAATTTCAGTCAATATAAAACGTAATTTGTACTATTTTTAGGGGAGGAAAAAAAAAACATTTATTTATTTATGCCTTTTTTTTAAAAATTACCAAAAATATTTATTATTAAATTTATATTTTATTTATTTTGAGGTCTTTTTTTTTCTAAATATGTCTTTTGAGGGCAAAGAAAGAGTGATACATTGGTGCTCAAATTTTTGTGGAGTTAGTTGAAACATATTTGCTTCAAATCTTAATGGTTTTTTGAATTCCAATTTTTTTTTTCTGAACACCCATAATTAATATATCCATTTAATCATTTCAATATATCCAATTAACAATGATCATTTCAATATATCTAATTAACAATGATCAAAAATAAGTATATCTAATAAGTTATATTTATTAGATTTATTATATATATACAATGATTAATAAATGCTTTTTAAAAACTTTAAACATTTTAATTTTACAGCAGTTAAAATGTATAAATAAGTGATAAATCAGTATTAAAAAAAACTTAATTAACTTTTAAATTAGATTTAAAAAAACTTTTAATTTAGATTAAAATCTTAATTATAAGTTTATATTTAATCTATTATATGCATTTACTTGGTTACTCGTATGACTATCAAAAATATTTTAAAGAAAACATTCTTTATAATTATTGTAAAAACTCTATTAATTTTTAAACATTGACAAGCAGGAATTTTGGGTACCAAAACTGAAATATCATTGTCAACAGGCATGAATACATCAATTCTAGCAAGTAAAAGATTTTTTTGAGTTTTTAAAAGTTTATGAATATGTCTTAATATGTAATCTTGAACCTATAAAAATTAAAAATAAAAATTGTTAACACAGTTTCGATAAATTCGATTCATCATGTCGGCAGTAAGCAGCAGCATCTCATTATCATCATTGAGTTGATAATTATAGTAAAAAATTTCTCCAATATTTTGTAATTAGTTACTTATTAAAAATACTTAAATTAGTTTGAACCATAAAATGTTGCTTTTATCAAAAGATATCTTTAATGAGTCTTGTTAATTATTTGCCTCTGTAACAAAGATGTCTGCTATTTTAAAAAGATGGTTCATGAAAATTTGTTGACTATTTTTATGCTTTTTTTAAATTTTTGACTTTTTATAGATGGTAGATAAGTGTTTTGAAATACAAAATTTGTGTTATTTTTTATTTCTATACTTGAATGTGAGTAGCTGACACCATCTTGAATTTTATTCAATTATAATCAAGAAACATATAATCTAATGTTTATTGTCAACATATGTTTTTTTGAATGCTAGTATTAAGCTTATTTTGGCCACAATGAGATTAGATGAGTATAAATTTTTAAAGTGGTCCATTTAAATTCATTTTTTTATTGTCCAAAATTATTTGTTTTCAATTTTAGGTACAGTAAACTATTAATCAAACACCTGGTTTGATTTCAACATTTAACAGTTTTTAACTAAGTGTGGAGAGAAGTCTTGACTATTTATTTAATTATTATGTCAACATGACAACACAAAAGTTAAGTAAAGATACTCCCAAAGTGTTATTTTTCTCAAGTGCTTCTGATCATGAAAGCAATATACATAGTTGTGTTGCTAGGTAGAACTTTTTTAATTTCATGTTTATGGGTTTGAAGATTTTGTCACACACAATGAGATACTGGCGTAAAAGAAAATTTACACACACACACACATACATATATATGTATATTATATACTTATGTTATATTCTTCTAAATTCATATATACTAACCCAGATAATTTTTAAGTCAATACAGAATTACAGCAATTTTTTTTTTTTTTGCCCTTCATATGTATATAGTGTCAGCGTAAACCCTATGTTGATGTGTATACTCAAAGCTAGATGGCTAGAATACCATTAGGTTTCAAAGCTCTTCATAAAATCACTTTTAGGAGCAGCTCAAAACTGTTAAACCATTAGAGAGGTTTCTTATATTATCTTCAAACATCTACATAAATTATTATTATTAAATAAATATTACACATAAATTTAAAATATAACTATTACACATAAATTGAAAAAATGATAATCTTGTTTTAAAAAACACCTCCTAAAATAATTATTTTAAAAAAATTATGAAATGTTTTATGTGAATATACTACAGATAGTGTTTTAAAATCTGAAAATGATTTTTTTTTCTCAGATGAATATTTCTTTCAGTTGTTTCCTTTATTAATTATTAATAAATATATTGAATTAAAAGTTGTTTTGTTTTTATTTAAAAATTTTGAAATTCATAGAGAATTGTAAATAATTTTTTAATTACATAAATTTTTAAAATCTTGTTTATTGAAAAGTTTGTTTTTAATTTTTAGAATTAAAAGATAAAAGGATAAAATCTTAATTTAAAGATAAAGAAAAGAAACAACACTAAAATAACTTAAAATAACTTTATAAGAATTAATAAAACTTTCTATTCATTCAGAATGAGTGATTGAATTTAAATTCCACTAAATATAACAGTTATAATCTCAAAAAAAAATTTAAAATTTAAAATTTTAAAAAATTAAAACTCAAATATAAAAATCTTTTTGATGATATAAATTTTGATAGTCTTTCATAAAACCTTTGAAAAATTGCATAAATAATTTGTGTTAATAGTTTTACACAACCATTCACTTCATATTTATTACAGTTCAATCATTCATAACAAGTGGATTAGCTATTCACACAGCCTCAGGAGACACATCAATATTTAAGCATTTCCTTAAATCTAAATCATATAAGTTCTCTATGTTTTATCGTAGAAAGATTCTTTATGTCAGCATTAAGTTTGAAATGAGTTAAGCTGGTTCCTAGATATCCAATTTTTTTTGGATGTCTTTGGATCTAGTAGAGAGGTAAAAAAAAAAATTTTTTTGATGTCTTTGAATCTTGTAGAGAGTTAAAAAAAAATTTTTTTTTATATGTCTTTGGATCTAGTTGAGAGGTAAAAAATTTGCATGTAACCAACAGTTATTATATATTACTTATTGCGTTTAAATGAGTCATTTTCTGTTTTTTGCATATATATATATATATATATATATATATATATATATATATATATATATATATATATATATATATATATATATGTATATATATATATATATATGTGTATGTATATATATATATATATATATATATATATATATATATATATATATATATATATATATATGTATATATATATATATATGTGTATATATATATATATATATATATATATATATATATATATATATATATATATATATATATATATATATAAATATGTATATATATATATATATATATGTGTGTGTGTGTGTGTGTGTGTTTTTCTTCATAGATTTTATCAGGAAGTTTTTTACTTTTATACTTTTAAAAGTTTTATATTTTTTATTTAAACAAAAGTTATTTAATAAACATAATTAAGAAAATTCTATCAACTAAATATATTTAAATATACTATTTTAAGGTTCATGTATTAGGTTATTCATCCTTTTTTTGTTCAAATTACTTTTATTTGTTGCACTAGAAACATTAGAAATATTAAAAAAGAAATATTTTAGAATTTAGTTTTTTTCTCATTTCTGTCATAGAGAACATTTTTGATATGATAATTTATGCTACAAAACATTTTTAATATGATAATTTATGCTATAAAATTAATTTTTTATTTCATTAATTTTTTACAATTGGTTTGAGAGCCTACTAAACATAGTTATTTTTCCCTTTGATAATATAGCTCTAATCAATTGCTTTTAATGTCCTTACATGGCTTGAACTATGATTTTTTCAGCTTTTCTGTAATGCTCTTTTATAGTTACATTGTCTGAAAGCTAAGTGGCAGCATCAGATGTATCATATCTGTCATATGCAATATTCTCTAGGAATTGTTTTAATTGATTATCATTAATGACATTGTCCTGAGTGTTATCAATTGTTTATATTGTCCTGAGCATTATCAATTAACCCACTAGAAGTACACATAGAAAAAACACTCAAACACAACAAAAAAACAATGGAATCATCTCACATTTAAAAAGTTAAAAACCCTAATAATTGTTTACTGAATGAGTATTGGTTTTTAAGTTTTTAATATAATTTGTCAGAAAACATTTATAAACCACTTTATAAAAACAGTTTATTACTATCTAAAGTCAAATTTTACTTATTGCCTACAATAATGTGTATCTCTTTTATAAGGTACACCTATATTCATTTTGCTAGGTTTACGTATATCTTTTATACTACGTATATCTTTTATAAGGTACACCTATATCCATATATCCTACATATATCTTTTATAAGGTACACCTATATCCATTTTGCTAGGTTCACATATATCTCTTTTTTAAGGTACAGATATATAATAAGGAATATAGTAAACAAGTTTAAGTAGTTCTGTCTTATTTTAATATTTCCTTTTATAATTTTAAAAGAAAATATTTTTTGTAAAAAGAAAATATTTTTCAGTTACTGTATATTTTTCAAAGTTTGGTAGATATGTATATGTTATGTTGCTTTTGTGATATTCACTTGCAAGTTTTTTAAACTAATTAGATTTTGTGTTTAGATTATGTTGCTTTCGTGTTGTTCATTTGGAGGTCTTTCAAACATTAGAAGTTGATCTTAATGCTCTTGTTTTATGTGTTGCAATGCGGGTAAAAATTTTTGCAATAATAACATCTTGACTACAAAATTTTTATTTGTTATATATTATAGATGTTAATTTTATTTGACAAAAATTTTTTAGGGGTCTCGTCGTAGTTTGCGGTCTGATCAAATACCGGTTCAAAATTCTGGCACTGCAGATGTTGATTTAGATCTTGTCTTTACATTACAGGTGTTTGTAAAAAAGTTTATTCAATGTTTTGTATTTGTTTAATGTTTTATGTTTTTTAGGTATTCTAATTTATGAAATTAATTTCTCAGATTGAATTTCTAGAGTGAAAGTTTTCGATTTTATTGTTGCTTTGTATTTAGTATCCACATTTTTTAAAGCGAAGGCAAAATCTGTTGCAAATAATGCTTCAACGTCGGAAGAAATATAGAAATCGTCCAATACTTGGGTATAAGACTTTAGCTGTAGGGTATATAAATATGGCACAGGTAATCATTCAGAATGTATAATTTTTTTATTAAATTTATTGAAGTGGCAATTATTTTGCAACTTTTTCATTGCAGGTGTTGCAAGGTTGGTATTCACCTAAGCTTAATTTATTTGCAAAAGATGAAAAATCTCCTGTTGCAGTATTGACTATTGGTTCACTTACCAGGTTTTTATTTAATAATAAGTAATTGTAACAAATTCGTTCAGACTAATTTTAAATATGACACCCAGATGAAATGACACAATAATACTTTTCTAATATTTTCCATCACTTAAATTTTCATCAAAGAATAAATCATCAATTCTCGTCAGGTATTGTTTCATAAATCAAGAGTCTGTAGTTTATTGAGATAAACATTAAATCTTAAATATCATATAAATATAAACATCAAATATGACATAAATATCTTAAATAGCCCCAAAAGAAATAATCTGTAGTTACTATATTTTAAAGTTAGACAGCCAAGAAACAGTATGTAATAAAGCTGTGGTGTCATGTGGTGTCATGGTGCCGAGAAACAGTATGTAATAAAGCTGTTATTGAACCAAAAGTTGCTTGTGATGTGATCAATCATCATTGGAATTAGTATGTTATTATGGCATAGTAACTCTATTGATGCTTTCAGCTTCTCCAAAAACATGTAAAAAATAAAGAACAAACTAATGGTTATTTCCACAAAAATTGGTTGTGGAGCTTTGTTCTTTGGGAATGATTCTGAGAATTACTTTGGTTTAGAACCAACAGATTGTTTATGATCCCATTTAAAAAGAGTCTTATTAGTAAAAAATGTTGTCTTAATGGAATTTTGAAAACTAACAAAAGTTATTTGCCAGAGACATGTGCAAACAATGGGTAACTGTAATGAATGGTGACAACTTGATACAATAATCTTTCAATGCTATTTGTACATTCATAATATTTTTATTGCATCAACCTCATTAATGTATGACATTGCCAACATTGCAGGTGGCAATGCATGCAACATTGCAGGTGGCAACTAATTTTTTATCTATAGATCTGATGGCGAGAAGTTAACTTTAACTTATTAAGTTTATTTCTCATTCAATATATGCACCATATCCAAATTACATTTTTACAAACATAAACATGTTTTCAATTTAATGGTTTACAATGACAGCATGTTTTGTTCCATGGAACATATTTTTTGACAGATGCCTTTAACTCGATTTGTTATAAACTGTAAACCTGAAAATGTTAAAAACAGGGTTATCAGATGTAGATCTTTAAAGGGCAGATAATTAGTTTTGTGATTTTAAGGCTTCTGTACCTTAAACATCTGTTCATCTATGTATACCTGGAAGTCTTAAACATTAAAAAATTCTTGATATACCCCTGCAATAAATCTATTTTTTTAATTAATATATATGCCACTTGTAAGAAAGTACACTTTAATATTTATAAACATTTAAAAACTTTTTTTGCAACTTGTATTGAGGTTATTTAGATATAATTTTATGAATTAATTTTTGGTTAATAGTGAACCTATTGATAGAGATATACATGAAAGAAGAAATACAATAGGTATATTACTCTTTTTCTTTTTTAGTTGTTTTCTTTTTGTTTTATACATGCGTAAAGATGTTCTTATGTCAACAATAGTTGATAAGGCTTTCCCAGGAAGAAAATGACTTTTTAAATATCACAACCTAAAACTACATGCGATTTTTGAAAAGTGATATCCCCTAAGTAATGAGAAGCTTTTTTTGTAAATTCATTGTGTAATAGTCATCTGTTGTTTTTTTGTCTTATATTTATGATGATTTTGGTTATTTTCAGCAATGAAAGTTGTTACAAGTCAGCAAATAATTTAATTCAAATATGAAATAAGCCAAATTTGAAGTTGTGAAAGGAATTTAATAAAAGAATCATATTGTTTAGTTAAATATCTCATTACCTAATTTTGAGTGAGACTAAGATAAAATGAAAATATTAAATAAAAGGTTTAGTTGACAAAGGCTTAGTTAGATAAGATGAAAATATTAAATAAAAGGCTTAGTTGACAAAGGCTTAGTTAGATAAGATGAAAATATTAAATAAAAGGGTTATTTGACAAAGTCTTAGTTAAATAAGATGAAAGTATTAAATAGAAGGCATAGTTGATTTAAAAAATCACATACAATAAACTTTACAAAGTTGTGAATTTTGTTGTTTGTAAATCTTTTATAATAAAAAAATGATTTTAACATCTTATATGTGTATAAATATCAATTACATTGGACTAAAAAACACAATGTATGACCTTTCATTTTGAACTTTTTGGTAACCTCTGGCCGACAGTATGCTGAATGCAGTTTTTACCTTTCTTTTTCTACTAACAAACCCTAATGAAAGTAAAAGATTTAGTGTGATATCAGTATTTTATTTTAATGAATTTTTTAAAAAAAACTTCAAAATAGTCCTCCACTGTTTAGTTGCTTTTCATTTAAAAGTTTTGAATTAAATTGTTGAGTAAAATCTCTTGTACCTCTTGTACTTTGTTATTGCTACAAATTTTTTTTTATTGTGCAACTTTTTAAAAGCCGCTGTTTATGGCATGCAGTTTACCACATGATGTAGTTTACAAAATAACTGTACTGTGTGTGAGGGATGTGTGCGCAGTTGCACACCAATCCTGGGAATGTCTTTTTTTTTATTTAATTTTATCAAATATTTGTTCTTGTAAATTTTTGATGGATGTTATTAAAAAAATGATTTGTTCATATAGAACACCCAAACTTGAGCTCTGATGATGATTCTTATAGTAGCGATGTTGAGGATAGTGCTGGAGAAATGGAACAAGTAATAATGTTTTTATTTTTAAAAATTTTCATAATTTTCAAAATATTTTGTGGTAAGACACTACTTTAACTAGTTAATTGAAAAATTTAAAGAGTTTACAATGTTAAACCAATTCTATATTAAAACAGGTGAGGCTCCTTAGCCAAGACAAATGCTAAAATGCTTTAATATGAAATCCCATAGTTTAATTCAAAGTAAGGGTAGGAGGAGCTTGTTAACCATAGATGGTAATCTTCCTTGTGGTAATATTGTAATATAAATACTCATATATGATTTGTCTGAACTCAACCACTTGTAGCACACACATAGGCATGAAATTATCAGTAGTATCAAAAAATGTTTTCTAAAAAAATATTTAACTAGCTTTTTTAATTTTATATAGACATGAATAATATAAAAATTTTGAAAAAAATTAGATAAAGTTTTAAATAATAAACCAAATCAGACTAAATTAGTCAACTAAACTCGGATTAGTAGTTTTTCAGATTAAATTTTTTATTTAATGTGCAAATATATTTTATTTTTATTTATAAAAAAAAATTTATTAAAGTTTATTAATACCTGCACATTAATTTAAAAGTGTTTAAATTTAAATTGAAAAACTAATTTAGTCTGATTTGGGATATTGAAAATTTTATTAATTTTTATTTTTTGTTTTTATAGTAATATATACCTTTGTAATAATAACCCCAAACATTTAGTTTTTTTGGAGAAATTATTCAAAATACTAAAATGAAGATAAATCTATTAGACATTGCTAAATATATTTAAAAAATTTTGAAATTCATGTTCATATAACTTTTGTTAGAAACTACTAATTGTGTTAAAATTATTTAAATCATGTTCATATAACTTTGTAGGACATCACTAGATGTATTCAAAATTTTTTGAAAGTCATGTTCATATAAAAAACAAAATATGGAAAAAAAATCTTTTAAGAAACATTTTTGACTGTATTGGTGGTTCTATGTCTATTTTCACACAAGAAATCTCCTCAAAACACAAAAATTTGTAGCCCTCGTTAACTCTTTTTAACACATTTTACAATAAGACTTTTTGTTTTAAGCTTTCTGGATACACTCGGCAAGATCTGCAAAGAAAGGTAAATTCATAAATTTTCATTTTGCTAAGTTTACTGATAAAATAAAACTTTTAAAAGAAAAGGTATTAACTTAATTTTTTTTTTACTTAAATGTGTTTGCAGGTAAATTCACACAATCTGAAGCAGAGAATAATTAAAGTTCTTTTTAAAAAACTAAAAGTAACGGATGAAGTAAGTTAAAATTTTTATGAAGTTTTTTTATTATTTCACATTAGATAAAATATTATAAATCAACATGTTATCATAAATTAACATATTTTTGAGTTGAATTACTTGCAGGGTGTCCAGTGTCCAACAATGATCTTAAAGATGATACTAAAGCAAGTTGAGTAACTTGCCACAGATTGATGTAAATCTTTTTTAAAATATTTTTGACACTGTGTCAGGCCTTGCGATGAATAAGAACTGCGCGACGCATAAGCACGACGTGATTTTTGACGTCATTAAATTCTTTTTATTTGCTTTTCATATTTATCGACATTAACTGCACCAATTTACTTAATTACCGCAAAACTTCTTTAAATCATTAATGTAGAAATGTTATCATTTAAAAATGTTTTGGAATGTTTCATTTTTTAAAATGTAAAAACATTTGTTTATTTTCTCGACGTTTGACACATTTTGTCTATACTAAAGGAATAAAAAACATAAGTTTTTCAAATAATTATTTTTTCTTTTTAAGTCAGAGAGTAATAAACTGGAAATTTTTATAATGTACGATTAAAAACTGTGCAATAGCAAATATTTTTACTAGCGATTTTATATAATATTTATTTATTTATTTATTTTTATTTATTTTCATAAAGCGGAAGATAAGCACAATCACTCGTATTATTAAAAAACTTTAACGAACGTTTTGAATAGATTTTTAATGTTTACAAGGAATTTTATTTTTGGTAAATAAAATAAAATGTTAGAATAAAAATCTTTTAGGTATAAAAGAAATATTTCAGCGAAAAAATTATTCCTAAAAATTATTATCAAAAATTATTCCAAAAACTATTGACGTTCTATTTTTCAGCAGCTGTTCTTGAGCACGCTTCGTTGAGTTTCGATAACTTTTAACAAAAATGCGATTGTTATTATTTAAGTAATTTTTTTCGAGTAACTTTTTACAAAAATTTTAATAACTGTACTTTTTTATTGAATCAAGTAGAATACGTTTTAATATTAATCTTTTTATTTTTTTTATTTGCGCTTATTAATTTTTAAAATGTTTCCTCGAAATTACTCTTAAATACTTTAAATTCGTCTAACAGTTAATAAATATTTTTAAATCTATGGAATAATTTTAAAACCTAACAAACCCCTGTAAAATAATTAAGTTAAAAATCTAAAACTAAAAGAAAGTATTTTTGTTCAATTTTATCGACAACTTTGCTATTGCTGATTAATTTTATTAAAATGCTAGCTTAAAAAGATTTAAACTTTTTTTTAATCTGAATTTTTTCTACTTGTAACTAATGAGCATATTTATTTTTTTTGTAATTCTAACATTTAGATAAACTGCGTGCGGTTTTTAAAATACTTTATTAAATGTTAAAATAATCGTAAATTACTTCATTAAAATTCTGCTCAAAAATATCTTTAAATATACTCAAACAAAAAATTTTTTGCTCGACGCAAATAGCCCTAGCTACATGCAAAATCGCCCTTGGACGACGTAAAATTCACATCGCCCGACGCTTTATCGCAAGGCCTGCTGTGTCTATTGTGGCAGACCATTCAAAAGGAACTAAACAAAATGAAGTATTAGGAAAAGAAAAAGGTTTTTTTGAAAACTTGTTAAAGAGTTCTTCTTTCCCTTCTGTTTAGACTTTAATGACTCTATTAAATAAAAACTAAAACATAGGACTCCTGCATTGAAAATATAGATCCTACTAAGGTTGAAATCATCTTGCAAATAAATGTAAATAGTGGTTAGTTCCTTTTTCATTTTAATGATATTTTTAGCATTGTTTTCACTGCTATGTTTCTAGACAATGCTAAAGTTTTACCAAATCTTTATTGAATTACTATTTGATAAGAGCATTGTGTTTAACCTTAATGTCTTGATTGAGTTAAAAAGCCAAAAATTAATTGATCACTTGAAAATGTTACTCGATAATTTTTTTGGGTACATCATAAGTTCAAAGATCCCTTTGTCACACCTATATGACTTTGTATTATTTCAGTTTGAAGATTTAATGGATAATCAAATCAGAATTATCAAGTTAGAGCGTTTTTATCTTTTTCATCAAATAACTGTCTGGGTGTTTTTATTTTCAAGGTGGTTGTGTCAATAGTTACATTGAATTATCTTTTATCATTAAATTAGTTTTAACACTTATTCCCGGCTGCTGTTATAAATATGTTATAAAAAATTTTGCTTAAAATAAGTTTAATTCCTAAAAGTATTATCTGTTAGAAAATTGTAAAGGGGCAACTAATTGCCCATGATATATAATCAAACACAGTTTAAATTATTAATAAATAACCCCACCATTTGTCAAAACATTTTGATCTGCTCATAAAAGTATACAGTTAAGTTAAATAATGGTAAAAAGAAAGAAGAGGAGATAGAACAGTAAAAAATTCATGCACATCACAGCTGACATCAAAAAAGTAAACCAAAAGTCAAGATTGCTAAAATCATAATGATGGGTTGCGGAGTGTATTAAACTTGCAGAGAGAAAAAAGCAACCAGAGCCATGTTAAGAAAAGAAATAATGAAAAAAGTAGTGAGACTTATCTTCAATACTAAACAAATTGAAGAACTGGTTGTTTTTGGTTATCTTCCTTTAATTCGTAAGTTAGTTATCTTCCTTTAGTTCGTAACTTTAACTGGTTGTTTTTGGTTATCTTCCTTTAATTAGTAAAAACTCCAATAGTCACATGCTTGGCCTGGGTATTTACATTCGTAAGAGTTCACCCATTTGTCGGGAAACAAGGTTTGAATCCACAGGCTACTCTTTTATGTGCTTTCGTTTAGCACTACTTCACTCTATTACCTTTTTCTTCTATATTGCTCTCCATTTCAAGACTGCATTCTTTTCGATGTTATTTCTGATCAAATTGACCATTGCTCTCTCTCCTTATCCTTCAGCCAATATCGTTGATGTTTGTGATTTTAATCCTCATCACACTGAATGGCTTGGCTCTAGTGTCAGTGACTCTGCAGGCATTAAGGCCCACAACCTTGGCCTTTCTCAATCTCTAACTCAAATAGTCAACTTTCCAACTTGCTTTCCGGACAACCCCAATCATTTACCTACTCGACTTAAGCCTTATTTCTGATCCTAGTCAGTGCTCAGTTTCTCCACATTCACCTTTTGGTGCTTCTGATCACGGTTTGATCTCTCTAAAACTATTATCTCATACTTCTTTATCATCAAAATCCCCTTATCATTGTATCTCTTACAACTACCTTAAAGCTCACTGGGACTCTTTCCGTGATTTTCTTCATGATGGTCCTTGGGTAGAAATCTTTTGTCTCCCTGCTGACAAATATGCTTCTTACATAATTTTGTGGATTCAGGCTGACATGGAATCTTTTATTCCCTCTCAACGGTTTCAGGTCAAGCCTCACTTTTCTCCATGGATTTCCTCAGATTGTGCAGCTGCAATTTCCATTCGAAACCGTTACTTCCATATCAATCAGCAAAACAATTCTTCAGAAAACAGACATCTGTTTACTATTGCTAGAAACCATTGTATAAAGGTTTTGTCTAACGCCAAAGCCCCTTATTCTCAGGTCATAAAATCTTGTATATCATCTCAATAATTAGGCTCTCGTGACTTCTGCAGAATCTTTAACAGTATCATAAATAAGGGCAATTCTATTATTCCACCTCTAATGTATGGTTTAGAATTTGTTACCTCACCTAAAGATAAAGCTAAATTGTTTGCTAAGAACTTTGCATCAATATCATCTCTTGATTTCACTAGTTCTACCTGATATAGCCGTCAAGCAGGTTGATCCATTGCTTGACATTCATATCACTCCAGCTTCTGTATCAAAAGTGATTTACTGCTTAGACTTTTCTAGAGCGGGTGGCCCAGATAACATACCTGTTATAGTCTTGCAGAAGTGTTCTACGGAGCTGTCATCTATACTTTCAAAACTAAATAACAAGTACTCGGTCTTGTATCAGTCTTGTTTTCCAGCCTGCTGGTAAGGGGCATCTGTTATCCCCATTTTCAAAAATTCTGGAGAGCAATCGGACTCGTTTAACTACCGTCTCATTCTTATCATAAGCAAGGTTTTTGTATCTTTAATTAAGAAACACTTAATCTCTTATCATGAATCTAATAACTTATTTCTGATCATTAATATGGATTTCGATCTTCTTGTTCTACAAGTGATTTGCTAACAGTAATAACCGATAGGTTTTATCGTGCATTAGAGAGAGGCGGAGAGGTTAAGGCTCTTGAGATTTCTAAAGCTTTTGATAAAGTTTTGCATGCTGGTCTTCTCCATAAACTTTCTTCTTACAGTGTATCTGGTAACATCTTAAAAATTATTGAATCTTTCCTTTTCAATCGTAGTATAAAAGTTGTCTTTGATGGACAGCACTCTTCTTCATATCCTGTAACCTCAGGGGTTCCTCAAGATTCAATTTTTGGACCTATACTCTTTTTAAATTACATTAATAATCTTCCATTGGGGCTCTCAGAGGCTGGTGAACTTTAGTTTAGATAAAACCCAATTTTTTTCAGCCAATTGTTATTGCAATAATTTAGATCTTCCTATATTTATGAATGGTAATGTACTTTATGATTCATCTAACATTCATCTTCTAGGATTAACTCTTCTGATCTTTCTTGGAAACCGTATATCAAATCCATTGCAAAATTAGCATCTGCTAAGATTGCATCTCTTTATCGTGCTCGACACTTTCTTACTCCAGATTTTATTCTTTATCTCTATAAATCTCAAATCTGTCCTTGCATGGAATACTGTTGCCATATCTGGGGCGGATCTTCTAATGATGTCCTTTTCTCTTTTAGACAAAGTGCAAAAACGGAATGTTGCTTCTCTTTTTATCTTTTCTACTAATACTATAATGGGCACTGCTCTAAAGAGCTAGCATCTTTGTGCCATCTACTAAAATTCATTCTTGTGTTACTCGTCATTCAATTAAGTCTCATCCTTTTTACTGTGACTGTTTTCTGTGATTTCTAAGTGCTCCAAAAACTCTTATTCGTCCAGTTGTTTTTCTCAAAATCAGTTCTTTGTAATTCGCTTTTTTCTTCTTGCTTTCCTGATTCATATAATTTGCAATCTTTTAAGTTGTCTGTCAATTGTTATCTTGCTCTATAAACTTCATCTTTTCTCTTCCAATAACTTCCAATTCTAATAATGCTTGCTTGCAGCCTTGTTGGAAGCAATGATGTTTAAAAAAAAAAAAAACTTGAAGCAATTAAAGATATTTTTTTTATTAGTAGATTGATCTGCATTTTATTTTAGTCTTATTGTTATTATCTTCTTTTTTGAAGTTTTCCAATTTCGTAAATATCTTGAGTTGTAAGTCTTTTGAGAACTTTTGCAATTTATTGATTTTGTTAGAGTTTCATATGAAAACTAGTTAGCAATTGTACTTTAGTTATATTTTTTTTGATAAGTTTTTTTTTTTGTAGTATTTTTTTTTTAATTTTGTAGTAATAGTTTTTGCCATTAAAAAAAAAAAAAGCTTAAGTGGTCTCTGTTACTGAAATTCCAACAAAATTGTTATTCAAAGTGTCCAAAATATTAACTTATCCTGTTTAACTTTTTTTGACCCTTTTATAAATTGGTAAGGTCACCACAATGAAACTTTTTGAAAAATTTTTTTTTTTAATTTTGCATTATGTAAAAAGAATTAATGTTAATTAATCAACATTAATCAGTCAGTTGATATTAATAATTACTAAAAGTTAAGTTAATTCTAGGGTTGTTCGCCGAAAAACAAAACTTACGAAAATTTCGCATTTTTATCTTCCGTAATAGAATTGTTATTGCGGAAGTTGCACATGCGAAAATGCACATTCCGTAACGCTCTATACGAAAATATAAATAAATAAAATTCCGTAATAACGCATTACGAAAGAAGACTTGCGAAACAAATCATTTCGTAAGAATACTTACGAAATAGTTCATTACGGAAGGAGCATTCCGGAATGTGCAGTTACGAAAAAGACGCAAAAGATTTTATGTTACGATATATTTAAGATATTAACTGTTAACAGTTTAAATAATAAATAATAAAATTATAAAAAAATGTTGTCAAATGATTCTTCAAATGTTTATACAAATATACCTTTTATATATATATATATATATATATATATATATATATATATATATATATATATATATATATATATATATATATATATATATATATATATATATATATATATATATATATATATATATATATACACATTAACGGGATTTTACTGTATATATATGTATATATATATATATATATATATATATATATATATATATATATATATATATATATATATATATATATATATATATACATATATATATAAATATATACATATATATACAGTAAAATCCCGTTAAGTTGGACTCTCAATGAACAGATAAACAGTATGCCTTTCTTTTTAAAAAGTATAAAGAGGATGTGTGATAAACAATTAAATACTTTATTATAAAGAACGAGAGATCTCTCTAAAGGTAGATCTCTCTCAGCAAAGAGTAAAAAGAGAAGAAATATATGTGAAACAGCGGGATGTGAACCTGGGTCTACGCGGCCAAATGTCTTAACTGAATGAGCTATACGTTCATTCAACTAAGTGAATAGTAATATTTATTTAATATACAATTAAGAAACTATATAAAACAGAATTTACAGAAAGAGATACGAATGCAAATAGGATTCTATATATCAGGAAAATGAATAGTAATGTGAACCTTTAGATGCTTGTAATTAATATCTGGACTCAAAAACTAGTTACTTTTAATGGAACACATTAGGCTGTAGGAGCCTCAGGGAAATTATATTCAGAAATGGTTATATTAGACTCAGAGTTAGCTAGAAATTATTACAAAATATTTAGGACAGATGTCTAGTACAAAAAGCAAAAGATTTAAAGCAAAATGATTTATATTATTTGAAAAAGTTGTTTTACGTACATTTCATCATAATTTAAGTAGAACTTAGTAAAGCAAGGGAAACGTGTTGAATTAAGCACAATGAACTCAATCTTAAAAGAATAACTAACAGAAGAGAGGTTGTCACTATTGTGAAGGTGACGAAAGATCTGTAATATAGAACATTGAGGTCAAAAAATGCTATCTTAAGTAAAGAGAGTTTGATGAACAAAAGTTACAATGGCTGCGGGATGCGAACCGGGATCTCTGCGGCGAATTATCACGTATCTAACTGATTGAACTATACAATCTTATACTCAAATTTATATCTTATTAAAATTAAAAAACAATATTTTCTAAGATCTATACTTCGAAAAGCGTATTCAAACAGGACTCTACATACCTTTAAAATCTGCTAGAACTTTAGTAACGTGAACACTTTTAGAAATTATTGAAATAGGTATATTTTATCAGAAATATGCTTAAGCTAAAGCATATTTTTGAGCCTCTTTTTACTATTTGCTTAAGCATATTCGAACCTGTTTCAAAAATTTCATATGCTATTAAAAAAAAAAACATGTATATACCCATCATTCTTATTTTTAATATACGTAATGAGTTCAAAAAACATCGTTGTATATATTTATTATGGCACGTTTCGTAAGTTGATTTCCGTTAAGAATTCTTTCGTATGTTGTGATCCGAAATACTTTCGTTTCGAAAGAAATTTTATTTTTTATTAATATTTCTAAAAATAAAACCATAAAAATTTAATAGTTATTATACTGAGTTATAAAAATTCATTATAAACATTTTGGGATTTAAAGATGTTAATTTTTACAATTAAAATCAGTCTGGCAAACAAATTTTCTTTATAGACTTCAAAACGTCGTTTGGCGAAAATGTTTGTTTCGCAAGTGCGACTTCCGAAACCGCTACTTTCGTATGTTGCAAAATAGTTTTGTTTCGTATGTCAACTTGCGAAATGCTAAATTTCGGAAGTGGCTTTTGCGAAATGAACATCGGCGATTTTAAATGTTTTGTAACATTCGGTACGAAAAAATGTAATTCCGCGTTCTCAATCTCCTAACGAAAGAATGTTGTTTTTCCGGAATTGCACAAAATCCTCCGGTTAACAACCCTAGTTAATTCTAGTTAATTAACATTATTCTCGTTAATTAACATTATAATTGTCAAATAATTACTAAAATTTAAATTATTTATTAATAACTACTAAAAGTTAAATTAATTTTTGGTAATTAACATTAATTAATAAATTTTTTTAGTTGACAAAATAACAAGTGTTAGAACTCAATGTTTTTTAAATTTTATTGTAAAGTTAAGAAGTAAAAAAATGAGCAGTAATAGAAAAATATATTTAAATGATATTTGAAATATTTTAACTTTTTTTTTTGTTGAGGATTTTGGTCATGTCCAAAAAGAGTTACAACGAGAAAATCTTAAGTTACAAGGTAATGACTACCTCTTTGATGACGATGATGATGAAGATGAAGATGATGATATTGATGATGATGATATTGATGATGATGATGATGAAGAAGAAGAAGACAATGCAGATTATATGGATGATGAGGATAGACAAAATTACTCAGCATTTCTTGCTGATACAATGAGTATTGGTTCTGTACAACGACCTGGATTACGGTGACTTTATATACACACATATCTTTAAGTATATATATATATATATATATATATATATATATATATATATATATATATATATATATATATATATATATATATATATATATATATATTTATATATATATACATATATATATATATATATATATATATATATATATACATATATATATATATATATATATATATATATATATATATATATATATATATATATATATATATATATATATATATATATATACTATAGCTTATATATATATATATATATATATATATATATATATATATATATATATATATAGCTACTATAGCTTATATATATATATATATATATAACTTCTATTGGGTATATAGATCAGCAATTACTTACTAATTTTGTTTATCTTTGCTTAAGCTTATTACTTTCTAATAAAAAGGCCAATAAGATAAGATAGATTTGCTCAAGATAAGATTGCTGCCCCAGTCCAAACTCTCAGACAATGTAGTAGCACTCCTTTATATCAGCAGGCTATAAGATGTATGTACTAGTTACCCCTGGCAGCAGGCTATTTCAGTATGTCACATTACTTATATAAGTGTTAATGCGTGTTTATTTTAAATAACCAGCTCAGGTATATCTTGCATTTCTGAGGTAATTTCAGAAGTTACTATAGATAGATATGGCACAAAGAAAAGTGTTGATAACATTTCTTACATCCTTGTTAATTAATTTACATATAATATATATGATTTTTACCTTATTGTTAAATAATTGCATAATTATGAAATTAATTAACAATAATTATTGTTATTTAACTAACATTAATTAGTTAGCATGTAAATAATTACTAAAGGTTACATTTTTAATCTAAAAGGTAATTTTAGTTAATTAACATTGGTTAACAATAAATAATGTTAATTAATAACCATCAATTAGTTAGTTAACAATAATAATTATTAAAAGTTTAATTAAAAGCTTAAATAATTAATAATAATTAATTTATGTTAAATAAATTTAATTTTTAAGATTACTTTATTCTAAATAATTAAAAGTAATTATTAACATTAGGAATGCTAAACTATTAAATTTTTTGTTTAGACCTTTTTTTGACCAAAATAAAAGTTCAGCTTCTTTAAATACTTCTACATTAACAAAGGAAGAAACAAAAGTAATTTTATAACTTATTTTTGTTTTCAATATTTAATTTATTAACTTAGTTGTTATAAGTTTTTTATTTTATTTTTGGAAGGTTTGGAGTTGAATTTGAGTTATACAAAAATAAAATATTTAAAATGTTTTTTGTATTAATTGAGAAATTAATCTTCATCTTTATAATATAAAGTTTTTTTAATTTTTTAGAAATAAAGTTTTAAATTGTTTTCTTAAATTTCTTCTCTTAACTAGATTGTTTGCATCAGAGATGTTGTTAAAATAAAACAAAAAACTATTTTGTAGTTTTTTTTTTTGGTATACCGTAAAAAAACCTAATTACAGATGTTTTGAGAGAAAAAAGTTAATGACTCTTTTGTTATTACAAGTTTTGAAAAAATAAAAACACTAAAATGACAAGAATGATTTGTGTTGTTGTTACACATATTTTAGTGTTTTTATTTTTTCAATATTTTTTATTATAACTATGTAAAGAAAATAATATTGTTTTAATTTTAAGTTTCAAAAAATTTAAGTTTTTAAAAAACTTGTTTTTATCCTGAAAGAGTACTGCAAACCTAATTCTGGATGGATAGAAAACGGAAAAAATACATGCATAAACACATTAAATTAATTAACAAAACTGTTTTAAATATTTTTCTTAAAGGGATCCCAAAGTGTCGAGACAAGTTGTGTTCATATTAAAGAAAATGATAAAAAAAATGTATAACAACAAAAACAAACTTTGTTTTTGTCTCGAAGCTCACCGTCTCCTCATTAGCTCAAAGTCTCTTAAAATATACACCTCTCAAAGTCTTTAAAATATACACCGCAATCTACAGACTTTATAGTTTATTCAAGTGCGTTTAATTCCAAAGAGTTTTAGTAAATGACGTCATTGTAGAATTTCAATAAGAAATCAGAAAATTCTTTTTTTTTTTAACAAATTATATAAATTTTTTATTATTATTGTTATTATAGAATACTTAAGAATTTTTTTAGTTACTTATTTTATATAAGTTTCTTTTTCTATCATAAATTACTGTAGAATTTCTATAGTTATTTTATTTTCTAAATTTTGCAAATTTCGCATTAAAAATATAAAATATTTCAGATATTTTAGGCTCATCTATTGCTATAAATTATTTTTTGTTTATTGTTATTAAATGATTATTATTCTTATTAAGATTCTGTTAAAAAAATTGCTTTCGAATTTTTCATTTAACCGCAAGCCACTGGTAGCAGCTTTCGAGTATGATTCTCAATTTATCTTGTTTTGTACAAATTTTCACTTTTGACACGTTTGTTCTTAAAGTTTCGATAATTCTCTATACAATCAAGAACAAATAAGAGCCATATTGTGTTATTATAAAAAGTTATCACTTGACAAAGTTAAAAAATCTTGAGTAATCCTGATTTAAAAAAACTTCTTTGAATTTAGTTGTAAAATAACTTTGGTAAACTACATTTACAAGCTTCGAGTAAAACAACAAAATTTGTTTTTGTTGGTATACATTTATTATTTTGTTTTACTTAAAAAAATTCTGTCTAAATATTTTTATCATTCTCTTTAAAATGAACACAACTTGTCTCGGCACTTTGGGATCCCTTTAAATGGAATTGTATTAAATTGTGATATGGCAAAAAATATTCTATTGGCATTCCATGCGAATAAACTCCATAGTAGGATGATAATCAACACAAGCGATGCAAGACTAATTAGAACACTGTTTGCATGTAAGCCATTGAACATCCAATCAACTCCACAAGATTAACACGAGCAAATGAGCTCTTCTATTGTATTAATATTTTCTGAGTCTTGAATCTTTTTTTTTTTATTTTATGCTTGTTTTAGATGGCTGACTTGTATTTTTTGAAATGCAACAATTTTATTTGCTATTTAGATTTTTTTTGGCAGTTTAATATCAATAGCTTTGTCGTAAAATCAGTATTTGATATCTTGTTTGTCCAGTTTTTATTTTTTTTTGATTCTTGTTTGGTTTTGTCAAAAGTTATAGTATCAGTTGAGGTCATATTATAATTGGCTGGTCAGTTAATTCTTTCACCTTTCTCTTTTCTATTATAATTGGCTGGTCAGTTAATTCTTTCACCTTTCTCTTTTCTATTATAATTGGCTGGCCAGTTAATTCTTTCACCTTTCTCTTTTCTATTATCTAAAGGTGTAAGTTGGTCTTCAAACAACATTAAAACTGATTTGGTGATATCTTTTCCTGCCTTTTTAACTGTTTTATTTACATTAATTAATTTATTTATATACACAAGATTATGGGTAAATAAATAATAATTACCTGTATCTAGAACTAGGTGTCTTTTTTTTTACTTGTTTCTGTCTTATTTTGAATTTATTTTCAGAAATAATATAATAACAATAATGCAATTCTTTTGCATAATATTAATCAGCATCAAATTTAGCACAGAATAGTGCTTATACAGTTTTCGTTTTATTTTCAAAACTAAATTTGTTTTTTTTTTCTCTTTTTTTTTGTTAGTTTAATTATGTTAGATTTTAAGTTGAAAGCAATTGTAAATAGATTTTCAAAGTTTTTTTTTTTTATCATTTGATTTGTCTTGTGTTTAAGTTTATTAAAAAGAAAAATATTTATAAATTTGATGTAATATAAACAATATGAAACTTTTCATAAAACCATTCGTAATTATGTTTTATTTTAGATTTTTCGTAATTAGGTGTTTTTACGGTATGGCTTTATTGATAAAATTAAATAAATAAAAATAAAATTAAATAAATAAAAGTTGCTAATTGGTTGCTGTTAGTATAGTTATTATTAATTTTAATAAATATTTGTTAAGCAACTCCATAAAGAAATTACACAATCTTTTATTGAGAACAGTGGAGAAGATAGTAAAGAACCATCTCCTAGCAGTGACTCAGATCAAGGCCAGGTTCATTGTCTCAAATGAATTAGTTTAAAATTTTAAAAATTATAATGTTATTATTTTTGTTGTTGTTGTTGTTTTGTTTTTTTGTTATTTTTATCGTTTGTATTACTTTTTTTTTTTTAGTTTCATAAAAGCATTTAGAAAATTTTTTAAAAATAAATTTTTTTATTTGATTTTGTTTTATTAAAGTTACCATTTATGTTTCATATACTTTTGAGAGTATTTATTAATTTACTTTTTATTTTATTTTTTCTGGATATAGTTTTAACAAATACAAGTTTATTAAGTAGATTGTAGTAACAAAGAGTATTTTAAATAGTTCTTCTGTACACTCAACCATGAAATTACAATCTACATGTTATTTCATGATAATCTATACACTTATCCAGTGGTGTTTGTTGTGAGAGAAAATTATTTCCATGCGTATACAAGTTGTATCTTTGTTTGATGCCCTTTTTTCTAAATTATTTCCTAATACAATACATAGTTAAAGATAAAAACTCTACAAAGCAGAATTGTTTTTTTTAGATTTTTTCTTTTTTAAATAATGCCAATATTATAATTGTACAGAAAAAGTTTGTATTTTGATTACTTACCCATACCTAGTTTGTATACATACCTAGTTTGTATACATACCTAGTTTGTATACATACCTAGTTTGTATACATACCTAGTTTGTATACATACCTAGTTTGTATACATACCTAGTTTGTATACATACCTAGTTTGTATACATACCTAGTTTGTATACATACCTAGTTTGTATACATACCTAGTTTGTATACATACATGTTAGATTTAAAATGTAAATAGAGTATTTTAAATCTAACTAAATTATGTTTAGTTTGTCAAAAACTTTTTCATTTACATTTAACTATATAAGTAAAAATGCAGCAGATAATTTAAAATGAAAGTTTTTCATTAGGTTTTGATTAAGTTTGATAATTATAATTAATTTAGTACAATTTTTATGTGAAATATAACAAATGTATTTTTTAACTAAAGTTTTCTGTTTGTTACCTATTTAGTTTTTTAAATAAAATTCTCTAAATTTACTGTGCATATTTTATTCATTAAATACAAATTAATTTTTAATTCAAAGTAATAAATTAAAATTTAAAATGAACTTTTTTAATTTTTAAATTTTTCATTTAATTAATTTTACTTATTTGAAATTTAAAAAATGCTTTTATGGAACTATTTATTTATTTTGCTTAAAGTAAATGACATTATAGCATAAGCTTTTTTTTTAACTGTGGTTTGTAGGAATATAAATGTGTGCGTGTATGTTTAGTTAATAAACAAAGAACAAAAATTTTTATAGAAAAAAAACTCGAAAAGTATAAAACAAATGGTTGCTTTATCAGGAAAGTCTGGAAAAGATAAAATTCGTAGACTGTCTTTAAAAGATAATCAATCAGGCAACAAGCTTTCTGTTAAACATAAAACTAGCGTTGATCTTGAAAACTGTGTAAAAGTAAATTTTGCTTTTTTATGTTGTTTTCCTTTTAATGCAATCTATTGTTTTTTTTTTTTTTTTTTTTTTTTTTTAAATATATTTTATTTATATTTCAAAATTATGTGCTTTAGGAAGGACTATCTGTTATAAATGATCAAGTGAATGCTGCCTTAGGGAGAGATGATAATATACCAGATTACATTTTGCTAATTGGTTTAAATGATGATCACGGACAGGTTGTTTTTTTTTTCTTTTTTTTAAATGTATTTAGTTTTATTTGTAGTTTTATTGGTTTTAGTATCATTCTGTAGTTTTTTATTTTGTGGTTTCATTTAAGGCCGGCGAGAGTAGGTATTAAGTAAGGGGGATGTCTTAGGGTTTTCGCCCACTAAAAAAAAGGTACCCTAATTCCCCAATTTGCCTAGTAGTAGAGATAAACACTCCAATCTAAATAAAGGTTCCAATTTTCTTAATAAAAATACAAAAAGGTTCTGATTTAAAGTATGATTTATTGATGAGGAGTGAAGGGGGTGGGGTGTCAAACCTTCAAACCAAAAGTTGACATAATATATAAGTCTCCACTGTGTTTAACATTTTTGACTCAATCTTTTCATGTTTTTGTTTAAATTTTGGTGTCTTTTATGCACCATTTTGAACCCAATTTTAAATTGTGGTGTATTTTAAAACCAGTCAGTATATAAATGTTTTAGTCATTAGTAAGGAGTTAATGACCTTATTAAGGCGAGTTTCCACTCATCCGTTTTTTCACGGGAACGGGAAAGGAACAGGAAAAATAATCACGTGGGCATGCGTAGTATAATTTTTAATATGTCCAAAGGAAAACTACGCATGCTCATGTGATTATTTTTCCCGTTCCTTTCCTGTTCCCGTGAAAAAACGGATGAGTGGAAACTCGCCTTTAGAAGAAAGTTAATAATATCATTAGGAGAGGTTAATAACATCATTAGGAGTTAGTGACATCATTAGTTATGACTTAAATGACAAAATTAACATCCTTAAAACTATAAGACATATAGAGGTCACATAAAACTATAAGACATATACAGAGGTCACTTAAAACTATAAGACATATAGAGCACTTAGGCTACTTTATATTATATAATTGTTTTTGTTATTTATTTACATGAGTATATATTTGTTGTTAATTAGTATTAGTGATAATAAATAACTGGAGCTAATATTTGAACAGTGTTGGGGCTGGGTTTTATACAACAATTTGGAGCCTGGGCTGAATAAATATTGATACATCGTATAGATGTATAAGAGAGTTGCTTGAGTTGTTAACCTTTTTCAGAAATCTAAAGACCAAAACATAAAAATGCTTTTGAAGAACCTTAATGTTTCAACAAAGTATTTAGCCTAAAATTCATAGAATTTTTTTTGCTATTAATTTGATGTCAACATTCTTGAGCGGTAACAGGCTACTGCACTCATTTCCTGCAAATTGATCACTGTAAAACGGTGGCATTTAAATGTTTAGCTTTGCAGGCTAAATAATATTTTCTGGCCAATACAGAAGAAACTAAGAAGATGGTCAATGACCCCAAACGAAGACGAAATTAATGGGATCAAATCCATATGTTTAGAAAACCTTAGCCATGGTCAAAGCAGCTTCTATAATGTTGTTGTACTCCTTAGATCTGCTATTATTTAATCTAGTGACAACAAACTTGTTATGAATTGTCTCCAGACTTGTTGTTTTTAAAATGTTTTTAAGACTCCTCTGTTAGAAAAGAGGTGTTTGTTTAAATGTAATTAAATTCTACATAATAGATTATTGACTTAAAGATTCCATGAAGTTTTAATAATTGTTTTGAGCTGTTGAGTTTTTGAGTAATTTACAAAATTTTAGTTAAGGGCCAGATGTTTTATCAGTTTTAATTGATGTGTTATTAAAACTAAGAATTTTTTTTTTTTAAATCATTTAATATCCATCCTTCACCACTAGTATGATTTTTAGGTGTTCTTATCAAGTTAATAAGATCAGATTCAAAATAATAATCAGCACAATAACCATTGCAAGATTATTTGAGCAGTTTATAAATAATTACCAACTAATAAATATTTACAAACTAATACAATTAATAACTTAATTACAAACTAATAAACTAATAAAATAATTACCGATTGGTGTGAAATAAATATAAAGATTTTGGTATTTCATCAAGGTACTTCACTATATTTATATATTTATACATCCAAAGAGTTTTCTTGTGAATTGTTGTTAACATTAACCTGAAAATTACATACCACATATACCATATATATATATATATATATATATATATATATATATATATATATATATATATATATATATATATATATATATATATATATATATATATACTATATATATATATATATATATATATATATATATATATATATATATATATATATATATATATATATATATATATATATATATATATATATATATATATATATGTATATGTATATATATATGTGTATATATATATCCATATATATATATATATATATATATATATATATATATATATATATATATATATATATATATATTATACATGTATAATATAAATGTAGTTACATTTGAAATGTACATTTACATTATACATACATGTATAGTATAAATGTAGTTACATTTAAAAAATCTTTAGGTGTAGTTGCACGGATGTTATTATACATCAATGAAATTTCAGATGTTGTTGGACAGATGTTATTAGACATAGCAAAAACGGATGTTGTTACCATGACCCTATTTATATATATATATATATATATATATATATATATATATATATATATATATATATATATATATATATATATATATATATATATATATTTACACCCACACACACATATGCACATGCATAAAATAAAAAAAGTTTTTTTCTTCTTTTGAATTCAATGCTCAAACTATGCAAACATTTGATACCTGTACACTTTGCATAAAAATAATGAAATCAAAATGTATAAGAAAAAAAAAATTATCTAAGAAATGGTAAGAATAAAAGGTAAGTCATTAAAGTTAATTTTGCAGTCTTCAATAAATGATAAAATTTGACGTACTTCCACAATTAGTTTAATAGTTTTGACTCTTAAGTGACATTACAGTGATTGACGGTTTTAGTTTGGGTATCAATTAAAAAAATATATTTTTTTTTTTCTGGTCTTACATATTACCTTTTTTTTTAAATGTTACTACATTTGAAATGTAACTACATTTATATTATACATGTATGTATAATATAAATGTACATTTGAAATGTAGCTACATTTATATTATACATGTATTATATATATATATATATATATATATATATATATATATATATATATATATATATATATATATATATATATATATACATATATATATATATATATATATACATATATATATATATATATATATATATATATATATATATACATATATATATATAGAGGCCTTAGCGGGAGTAAATAAGCGCGAGAGCAGAGAAATGCTCTCCTAAAGCGAACAGGAAGAGCCATGCGTGCTGCTCCTCTAAACAGCTTTTTACAAGAGCTTTTGGTTTTTGCACAAGCTATCTGTTTATTCATTAAAAATATTGCTTATTAAATACAAATTTTGGTTTTATACTTGTTACAAGCATATGTTTGTAACGTTATATTACAAGAATATATACATAACAAGTATCATTTATTGCACTATGAAAAATTTCTTTGACGAGCATCTTTGGGTTTTCACATTAGCTATTCATTTATTTATTAACAACATTACTTATTTGATGAACAATTTGATAAGAGCTATTAAAGTTTTTACTGCAATAGAATGCTAGCATTTTAAGATTTCTTACAACAATTAAAAATTCCATAATAAAAGTCAATAATATACTCAATTAATATATAATATACAATTAATTACATAAAATAATAGTTATTATGCAATAAAATAATAGTTATTATGCAATAGTTATTATGCAATAGTTTAGAGTGCAATAGTTTTATATTTATTTGTTTGTTCAAAACATTTGCATCTATATGCAGTGACGTATCCAGAAATAAATTGGGCATACCGGTCTAAAATTCCTGTCTACCTTAAAGGACCTTTTTTTTTTTTTTTTTAATCCAATTTAAATACAATTATTCGTATATAATATATAACTCACCCTTGTCTTTTAGATTTTTTCTAACAAAAATTTAAATAATTAACTAAAATAATGTTACATTTATTACAGAACAACGGCTTTAACTCCAACATCGATTATTCGCTAATCGCTACTTTTCATTTACTTGCTCCATTCACTTACTATTTATAAATTATAATTAAAACTATTTATTAAATTATTAAATTCAAAGTATTAAATATTATTAACTAGAAATATAAAGAGTATGATTTCATAAACAAGCAATAACTATAACGTTTAATAAACAATATTTGTATGACTCTTTGATATAAATTTGATATCAAACTTTAGGTAGGTACAATCGGCGGGGCGGATCGGCGAGGCGGATCATTTTAACGGTACAAATGGCAGGGCGGATAATTTAACCGTTGCTACGATTTTATAATGCCATACTTCATTAAATAAAATAAAATATAAATATAAAGTCATATAATCATAAAGTCATATAAATATAAAGTCAAAATATAAAGTCATACTTCATTAAATAAAATAAAAAAAACCTTTTTTTATCTTTTTTTTATTTGATAATTTTTTTTTATTGATTCAGATATAGTTTAAGTTCATTAAAGAAATAATATTTAAAAGGTATTTGCAAATTATAATTTTAATAAATGACAAAAATATTATATAATTTTAAAACCATTTTTACAAAAAACAACATGATCCGCCAATTTATATCAAGTGTTCCGCCAAACTTTACAAAGTGATCCGCCTAATATTTCGATTGATTAAATCAAACTCTTTAAGTTTTAATAATTTTTCTACCAAAATACAACGTGATTCACCATTTATCCGCAATTTATATTTATTTATATTATAAATTGGCGGATAACGTTCTTTTTTGGTTGAACAATCATTAAAACTTAAAAAGTTTGAGCAGTCAAAATATTAGGCAGATCACTATATAAAGTTTGGCAGATCACTTGATATAACTTAGTGGATCACGTTGTTTTTTCGCAAAACAATCATTTAAATTTAAAGAGTTTAATATTAGCAATCAAAATATTAGGCGTATCACTATATAAAAGTTGGCGGATCACGTTGTATTTTGGTAGGAAAATTATTAAAACTTTAAGAGTTTGATTTAATCAATCGAAATATTAGGCGAATCACTTTGTAAAGTTAGGCGGATCACATTGTAAAGTTTGGCGGATCACGTTGTATTTTGGTAGAACAATCATTAAAACTTTTTTTAAGTTTTAATGATTGTTCATTAAAACTTAAAAAAATCATTAAAACTTTTTTTAAGTTTTAATGAGTTTGATATAAGCAATCAAAATATTAAGCTGACCACATCATAAAGTTTGGCGGATCACGTTGTTTCTTGGTAGAACAACGTGATCCGCCAAACTTTTTCATTGTTTATTAAAATTATAATTTGCAAATACCTTTTAAATATTATTTCTTTAATGAACTTAAACTATATCTAAATCTATAACAAATACTTATCAAATAAAAAAAAATTAAAAAAGTTTTTTTTTATTTTATTTAATGAAGTATGACTTGCATTAGTAACGTTTAAATTATCCGCCCCGCTGTTTGTACAGTTAAAATGATCCGCCCCGGCCTGCCGATTGTACCTACCCTATTTAAAACAAGGTAAATTCATTCGAAATTTTAATTACTTCATTCAAAAATAATAACTATTTTTTCTAGTTCTACTCTTACTATTCAAATCAAGTTATTTGGCGCGAATATTAAAATGTTATTTTAATTATTTAAATAAATGTTATTTTATGTTTTAAAAACTTTCATTCGTTTTATTATTTAAAGTATTTTTAATACAATTTTTACTGTTATTTGAAATGAAAAAGTTTAAAGCTCATCTAGTTTAATTGCTTCAAAAATTATGTTGTGAATATGTAAGCGGAGGAGAAACTCAAATTAATGTATTTTTAAAATGTTATTTAAAAATGCTAAGCGATTCATATTTTAATCCAATCAAAGCGTGCGTTTTACATTTAATCCAATTACAACATATTCTATATTTCATCAACGTGGATTCGAATTAAGCATTTTGGTTGGCTTAAAATACATTTATAATGTATTTTAAAAGTCGTTTTTCAAATGTTTGTCTTTCTGTAATCGTAACAAATGCTAATATAAAACTGTTTTAAATTGAGTTTGGGCTGAAATTTGGGGGCCCATACCAGTATACCGGTATCAAAATCGGCCTGGATACGTCGCTGATATGGGTGCACTTTTTTAATTATTTTTTTTGCAACAACCGTGCCTTTTAAAAAGCATTGCAGTTTATTATGCAATAGGTAACATTGTAAAAATAGAGGGAATAATGATAAAAATAGTTTATTTGGACAATTTTAAAAAGTAATTATATACCTTAAAAAAGTTGGGTTAGTGGGAAGCCATTCATTTTTTAAATAGAAAACGACCCGAACCTTAAATCCAAAACATATTCTTCAGAACATTGTATAAGTTGTTTACTAAGCTAGAAAATAATCAAATATTGAATAAAATTATTTGCCACTGATAAATGCTGACAGGCATAAAACTCTGAGTTTAAATATGTATTATAAATGTATGTATAAATGTATATAGTGTATTGTACACCCTACCTTAGTCCCAGCCAACCCCTGCTGATCTTATTGTTTAGTGTGGTTGTAAAAAACTCACCTACTAGTTAAAAAATTTTTTTTTTTTTTAATTTTAGCGTACAGCAACAAAGATGATGTCTCGTATAGGATCAGTTATTTTTACACCATCAAATGTTGAGGTTCAATTCACCATAGCTGCTGTTGTTAACAAGTTCCAAAAATTGTAAGTTATAAGATTTTTTAGCTACATCAATGGATTATATGCATCCTAAAATTTTGTCATGTGATGCTTTTTGAATTTTTTTTAGTGTTTCAAAGCATGTGTCTAGAACTTTCTAAATTTTAAAAAACAACTATACAAGAAATTTTTTAATGCGTATATTTTTTTACATATACATATTGTTATTGTTGTACATATAATGTAAGCTACGGTGAAATAAAACCAGGTATTTCATCTCACCGTACTTAAGTGAAGGCATTTTAGTCAACCAGGTGTGGTGGCACTTAGTTTGTCAACCAGGTGTAGTGACACTTACTTAGAAAAAAAACTCTGATATTAAACCCCCGTCATGTTTATATATTATAGGAAGAGCTTGAAAACACGTCCAAATGACACAAGTAGGAAAACATGGATGTTAAACATTGACACAAATAGAAATAAAATTTTAGATATTTATATAAAAAAATCATTTTTAATATAAATATCTAAAAAAAAATAATTTTGAAATCTCAGATAAACAAACTTTGTTATCTTTAGTTGTAAACTATAATTTTTATGAAATCGATTTGAAAATGATCATTTTTTCATAAAATAGTTGTTTTTAAAATATTTGTATAATTCAACATCTTTTGAGACTAGAATTCAATCTAAGTATTTGTTCTATAAAAAAGTTTTATTTGTTTATTTAACGCAGAACATTGTTTAAACCCAAAAAAATCTGCAAAGAAGGAGCAAATGTCACTCCATCTTTAAAAAAATAATATTCATTCTCATATAGTATTTGATTTATTAAATTAATAAATAAAATTTACTGGAATATCTATTCAATTTGATTGGATAAGCATTGTTAATTTTTAAATTAAGTACATTAATCATAATTTATTTTTATATATACGATTAAATTTTGCATTACTCAAATAATTGCAATGTTTATATCACTATCACTATCAAAATAACTTAGTAATCCTTAGTATCCTAAATAAGTATTACTTTATTTATTACAGGGTTGTTCATTCTTATATGCGCGTCTATTCATTTTTATATGCGCCTTTATTCATTCTTATATGCGCATTTATTCATTTTTATATGCGCCTTTATTCATTCTTATATGCGCATTTATTCATTTTTATATGCGCATTTATTCATTCTTATATGCGCATTTATTCATTCTTATATGCGCATTTATTCATTTTTATATGCGCCTTTATTCATTCTTATATGCGTTTTACAAAAGCAATTGTAAAAAAGCAATTTGAACAAAAAAAAATCATTTAAGCAATTTGTTTTGAAAAAACAGTTTATTTTTTTAAAACAAATTTTTCTTATTTCCAGGTAAACGAGGTTAAAAATACTTAAAACGAAGACTTTTTACATTTGACGATGGTTTATTTAATTTAGTATTAGTTCTTTGTAATTTTATTATTAAATTTCTTGATTGATTAAGTTATTATTTATCTAATTATTTATTTATCTAGATTTAAATTTAATTATTTATAATTATTATTAATATCAAATTATACATCCCTATGGATGGAATAGAAAATAACAGTACCAATCGTAAAACAAGGAAAAGTGTTACAAAAGAGCACATTGAAATGCTTAAGCATTTAATTGAAAGAAATCAATTTACAACAAGCATTTCCACTTCTTCTAATTTATCGAAGCGCGCAGTTCAAAATTTTGTCGTTAAGTTAAACAGAGGATAATTTGTCGACAATACTGCATTCAAGTCGTTTTTCTGATAAAAAACAAGGTAAACAACCTATAAACTCTCAAATAAAAAATATTATCGAATTATGCGTACAAGAAAACAATCTTTGCACACAAGAAGCAATAAAAAAATATCATTATGCAGCAGGCTTCAACATGTCTCAGCCTACTATTTCAAGAAAACTCAAACGCTCAGATTTATCAAGAAAACGTGTTGTGCATGTGCCGAAGAACGAAACTCAACATCAGTTATTAATGCACGCTATGCATTTGCAAGCGAAATAAACGGAACTTCAGGTGAAGAACTTATTTATTTGGATGAAACTGGATTAAATGTGCACACTAACAGTACATATGATTGTTTGCTAAGAGGTACGCCAGCAATTTTACAGTCACCTGCAAATCGTGGTAAGAATGTTAGTTTAATTTGTGCTGTTTCAACAATGGGAGTGCTTGCTTATGAAATAAAAACTAGAGGCTGGAATGCAGATTCATTTTGTACTTTCATAACTACAACGATGGCACCAGCAATTAGGAATGCAAAGGTTGAAGCGCCAGTGCTTGTTATGGACAATTGTAAATTCCACTGGAGTCTTTCTATTAGGCAAACACTAGCCTCTCATGGTATAGCTATTAAGTATTATATTACATGGTATAGCTATTAAGTATTACAGCTATTAAGTATTGATATTAATAATAATTATAAATAATTAAATTTAAATCTAGATAAATAAATAATTAGATAAATAATAACTTAATCAATCAAGAAATTTAATAATAAAATTACAAAGAACTAATACTAAATTAAATAAACCATCGTCGAATGTAAAAAGTCTTCGTTTTGAGTATTTTTAACCTCGTTTACCTGGAAATAAGAAAAATTTGTTTTGAAAAAATAAACTGTTTTTTCAAAACAAATTGCTTAAATGATTTTTTTTTTGTTCAAATTGCTTTTTTACAATTGCTTTTGTAAAACGCATATAAGAATGAATAAAGGCGCATATAAAAATGAATAAATGCACATATAAGAAAGAATAAAGTCGCATATTAAAATGAATAAATGCGCATATAAGAAAGAATAAAAGCGCATATAAAAATGAATAAATGCGCATATAAGAATGAATAAAGGCGCATATAAAAATGAGTAGACGCGTATATAAGAATGAATAACCCTGTAATTAAAATACTCCAATTTTATTGTAATTATATAAAACTTTGTCTTGTTTTCTCTGCTTCTTCATCAGCAAGGGGTGAATTAAGTAATCGATAGTTGTGATGGATTTTAATGGTCTTGAAAGTTGCGAAGCCCTTCAGTGGTCTTGAAAGTTACGAAGCCCTTCAGTGGTCTTGAAAGTATATTACTTAAAGCAATCTCCGTTGCTAATTTTTGTTTCTGTAAAATATTTTTTGAAAAAAAGTTTGTTTTAACATGATGTTTAAACAAATAAACTTTGTTCAGGTAAATATTACTTCTGGTTATTTGTCCTTCATGTTGGAATTTTAAAATTAACATCTGTATTTTTTGGACCACAGCTATCACCAATAAATGCTTATCTTTTAAGTTTATTTATTTATATACACTTTTGAAATTGATTAAAATTGTAACAAGCTTTTATTTACTTCTTTTTATTCTTTTTTTATAATTTTGACATTTAACAATACGTATTTTTATCCTGTGTTTGTATTACCTGGATTTACATCTTTTTTATACAAATAATAATTAAAACATAATAGTTGTGAAAATCTTATGAAAGAAATTCTTTTGTTGCAGTAAATTTGTTATGTCTGCAAAAAGGTTTGCAATCTGGTAAATTTGAGTTTGGCCCTTGTCACCTATTGTCCCCATTATTTAAAAAAAAAAAGAAGTTTGAATAAAAAAAAGAGAGGTCAAGATTAAATTAATTCAAATGTTTGCTAACATATGTTGTTAGCAAACAAAATTTTTTTATATTTTTTTATTCGTAATTTCTTTGATTAAGTAAATTAGTTTTATTTGACCTAATTTTTAGTTGCAATCGTCATTCAGTATCTCCTCCCTCCATAAAAATTGGTCTTCTGGGACCAGAAAGTTTTATTTGTCTAGTAGTAACAAATTTTGTGGAGCAGTTTTCGCAAAAACGTCAAGAATACCAAAATTACATAAAGTTTCTCATTATTCCAACAGGTTTGTTTTAATAATGTGTTTTTAAAAAAAATTTGGTTAAATTTTGACATTATTATTTTTCTAATATTTTAGCATCATTCAAAATTGCAACCTACATCAGTCAAATAGATTCCAAGTATAAGATGTTATTTATGGATTCTTTTTGGAAAAAAGTCTTTGAGCATGATTATTTTTCAGAATCTGGTACTTTAATTTTTTGTAAAATTTAAAGTTTCATGTTCTGCACCTTGTTTGATCAGACTAAATAGCCAATCTGGTCAGAAGTTTTTTTTACTTGATGACAGCTGTACATTTTATTAAATTATTATGAGATACTTCCTAGATTTGATTATATTTCAAGTCTTTAAAAATTTAAAGTACTTTTCTCTATATTATGACATATTAATCTTTAAATAAGTATATTATATTTTAATCTCTAAAATGGAATCATAAAAATTAGTTGTTTAGACAACTGTAAATTTAAAAAAAATGTTTAAAATTTTATTTTATAAGCGTTTGTTTTCAACAGATTTTGCAGAAATAGAGAGAAGAATTCGACACTACCTGGAACATTCTGATAGCATTCATTCAATACCTATTGCTGAAGCTCTTATTACATATAAAACGTAATGTTTTTTTTTTTTTTACAAAAACGATGTTTTGAATTTTTTGGTTTTTTAAAGCAAAGAATGACAAGACTGAAAAGTAAGGCTGATAAATAAGACTGATAAGTAAGACTGATAAGTAAGACTGATAATTAAGACTGATAAATAAGACTGATAAGTAAGACTGATAAGTAAGACTGATAAGTAAGACTGATAAGTAAGACTGATAAGTAAGACTGATAAGTAAGACTGATAAGTAAGACTGATAAGTAAGACTGATAAGTAAGACTGATAAGTAAGACTGATAAATAAGACTGATAAATAAGACTGATAAGTAAGACTGATAAGTAAGACTGATAAATAAGACTGATAAATAAGACTGATAAGTAAGACTTATTGTAAGACTGATAAATAAGACTGATAAGTAAGACTGATAAGTAAGACTGATAAGTAAGACTGATAAGTAAGACTGATAAGTAAGACTGATAAGTAAGACTGATAAGTAAGACTGATAAATAAGACTGATAAATAAGACTGATAAGTAAGACTTATTGTAAGACTGATAAATAAGACTGATAAGTAAGACTGATAAGTAAGACTGATAAGTAAGACTGATAAGTAAGACTGATAAGTAAGACTGATAAGTAAGACTGATAAGTAAGACTGATAAATAAGACTGATAAATAAGACTGATAAGTAAGACTTATTGTAAGACTGATAAATAAGACTGATAAGTAAGACTGATAAGTAAGACTGATAAGTAAGACTGATAAGTAAGACTGATAAGTAAGACTGATAAGTAAGACTGATAAGTAAGACTGATAAATAAGACTGATAAATAAGACTGATAAGTAAGACTTATTGTAAGACTGATAAATAAGACTGATAAGTAAGACTGATAAGTAAGACTGATAAGTAAGACTGATAAGTAAGACTGATAAGTAAGACTGATAAGTAAGACTGATAAGTAAGACTGATAAGTAAGACTGATAAGTAAGACTGATAAATAAGACTGATAAATAAGACTGATAAATAAGACTGATAAGTAAGACTGATAAGTAAGACTGATAAGTAAGACTGATAAGTAAGACTGATAAGTAAGACTTATTGTAAGACTGATAAATAAGACTGATAAGGCAATAAAATTATTTATTAAAGGTTTGGGTAGGGGCAGCAATAACATTTTTTATTATTCTTTATTTTTTCTTATTTTTAATTCTTTTAGTCCGAGTTCAGAATCATCGCAACTTTTTATACCATTTATTAGTGTAAGTAGTTTATATATATATATATATATATATATATATATATATATATATATATATATATATATATATATATATATATATATATATATATATATATATATATATATATATATATATATATTTAATTTTTTTTAACATAAAATTAATAACACCTGTTTATTATTTCAAAGTTAATGATTTTAAATTATTTTTAGGAAGTTCGCATTGGTACATGTGACACAGGTAAAATGTTTTTTTTTTTTTTTTTTTTGTCACATATATATGTATATTTTATATATACTTAAGTATACATGCATCATTTATAACAACTTTTTTTGACCTATAATTTTATATTGTAGAAAGTAATATTGATGAATGTTTATCATCTGGAGAAAAAAAAGATTTGACAGCACCCAGTCCTCGGTAGGTAATAGTTTCTAGGCTATAAAAATTTATTTTTGTTGTCTTTTAATAGTTGTCTTACATATCTAAGTTCAGTTGTAAGATTAAGTTTTAACTTAATCTAAATTAACTAAGCTATCTGTGCATGCATTGCGTGCGTATTGCAATGCGCATTGTATTATATAAGTTTCAGAAGTTATTTAATTGATTTGAGTTGTAGTCGCTGTGCCACCTATCTGAGCAATATTAATTGACTTGGTAAAAAAAAAAAAAATAACATTATTTTTAAAGATCATAAGATCTCTTAACATTATTTTTTAAAGATCGTAAGGTCTTTTAACATTATTTTTTAAAGATCATAAGGTCTTTTAACATTATTTTTTAAAGATCATAAGGTCTCTTAACATTATTTTTTAAAGATCATAAGGTCTCTTAACATTATTTTTTAAAGATCATAAGATCTCTTAACATTATTTTTAAAGTTGAAGTGTTTGCTTTAAAAAAGCTTTTTGAGCTTTTAAAGAATTAACAACTAAGTCGTCAGCTCAATAAAATTTGACGTTAGTACAAAATTAATAAACATTTTCTGAATTATAAAGTAAAACTTTAAATAAAAATCAGAAAGAAAAAAAAGTTTATAAATAACTTGCATTTTAATGATCATTTGTTTCATATTATTTTTAAAAGATAATACAAAAATAATTACTAGTTGTATAATAAAAACTTATAAGAAAATAAATAAATAAAAGAAAAAAGATTGTTACATAAATTGTTTACGCAAAACTTCCAACAATATTGACTTAAATTTAAGTTATCTAAACATTGTTTTGTTTATTACACTTATCTATCAAAGCATAAAAATATGGAACATCTTCCTTTTTTGTTTAAAATCTCTCAAAATACTTTTAAAATTTGACTTTAAGAGAATTTAAACAAAAAAGAGATGTTTCTATATTATGTCCTTATATATACATGTTTATATATTATTATTTATTATATTGGAATTTTGTGTTTATAGGCAAGAAACTACAGAATCAAGTCGGTTAAGTACTTTGCAGTATCCGATTAATGAAACATTAGATCTTCTTGTTGATTACTGGCCAATTCAATCATCTGCTGCTAATCAATTACAAGGTAAAAAAGAGGAAAGAAAAGAAGCCAATAAGGTATATTTTGTTTTAGTTTCATTCTTATTTTCATTTATTACTATTTGCATTTGAAGAGTTATTATAATTTTTATTTTCAAGATTTTGTTATAGTTAATTTGTATTTTTTAGTTTGTGATATTTATATCACACATTTGTATCACATTTATATCATATTTATATCAACTAAAAATATATCTTAAATTAGACTTAAATTAGAATTTGTGATATGAGTTTAGTTTTTGATTTAAGTTAAATTTGTGATTTACTTTTAGTTTATGATATAAGTTTACTTATGGCATAAATTAACTCTAATGAAATTTAACTATAAGTTTACTTATGGCATAAATTAACTCTAATGAAATGAACAAAAGTCTTAACAGAAAAGTAGAAATTTTAGCATTTACAAAGTCTAATTATAATTCAGATTTAAATTTTTTTAATTTTTATTTACATATAAATCTTTTTATTTGTATAAATTTTCAATAAACTTTTCATTAGCAACAAATAAAATCAAATATTGTTTACAATTAAAAAAAAAAAAAAAAACCTCAGTATGGTTTACAATTTCAAAAATAAAAAAACTAAACATGGTTTACAATTTTTAAAAAAAAAATCATTTTAAATATAGTTTACAATTTCAAACCTTACAACCCTTATAACAGGCCTAAATATTATACAATTAATAACTAAATTTTGTACAACTTCCCAAATTTTTTTATTTTTATGACAGTTCTTTTGGTTACCTACAGGATACAGCCTACAATTTTACCTACAATAGATCCAAACTTTTACAAGTTTTACAACATGGTTAATTTTAAAAATTTATATGTAAATTTTTCATGCATTTTCTAGTGTTATGACCAAAACTAAAAATTGTAACTAGCTAAACTAAAAAAACCATAACTAAAATTAGTTAACTTAAATTAATTTAAGTTAACTAATTTTAAGACTAATTTTTTAGTTAAAAAACTAAAATTATCCGACTAACTTTTTAGTTAACTAAAATTACCTGAATAACTTTCAAGTTAACTTAAATTACCCGACTAACTTTTTAGCTAACTAAAATTACCAGACTAATCTTTTAGTTTACTAAAATTACCTGACTAACTTTTTAGTCTAACTAAAATTAGTCAACTAACTTTTTAGTTGACTAAAATCAGTCGACTAACTTTTTAGCTAACTAAAATTACCCAACTAACTTTTTAGTCTAACTAAAATTAGTCGACTAACTTTTTAGTCGACTAGTTTTAGTTAGACTAAAATTAGTCTTTTATTTTTATATACCAAGTCTCAAATTTTCCAAATTACCGACAAAACCGACAGAATGTTGTAAACCTCGGAAGGTGCCCACATCCCCAACAGTACGGCTTTGGTAGGGGAGATTATTTTTGATGTGCAATTATTATTGCACACTACCTATAGGACGCAGCACATAAAAAATATAAGTTAAGCGTTCAATAAGCATACCAAATTTGATTTAATTGACTAAAGCTAATTGAAAAAATTTGGTCATGATTTGGGTTTAATGAGAACTTGACTCATTCATATATAGAGCACAGCCTCCTAATCAATGAGCTATGCAGTTGTCTCAGAAAAACTTTTATCGTGCATTAGATGGAGGCGGTGAGGCTAGGGCTATTGCTCTGGACATATCTAAAGCTTTCGACAAAGTTTGGCATGCTGGTCTTCTCCATAAGCTTGCTTCATATGGTGTTTCTGGGAAAGTTTTTGAGATTATCAAATCATTTCTTTCTAACCGGTTTATTAAAGTCATCCTTGAATGCGAACACTCTTCTTTATTTCCAGTAACTTCTAGGGTTCCCCAAGGTTCCATCCTGGGCCCTGTTTTGTTTCTTATCTACATAAACGATCTTCCTGACAACCTTTCATCTAAAGTAGCTCTTTTTGCTGATGACTCAACTTTATACTCTTGTCTTGACAAAAAGTCTTCTTTTTTCGATCGCCTAGAACAAGCACATGATCTTGAATCCGATCTCACTTCAGTAATAGATTGGGGTTCACAGTGGCTTGTGAATTTCAACTCTAAAAAAACCCAGTTGCTTACTGCAAACAACTACCGTAATATGGTCAACATTCCTATATTAATGAATGGCAATCCTCTTACTGAGTACTCCTCTTTACGTCTTCTTGGATTATCGCTTACTACTGACCTTTCATGGAAACCATATATACAATTGATTGCTAAATTAGCTTCTGCTAAGGTTGCTTCTCTTTATCGTGCTCGCCATTTCCTTACTTCTGATTCCATTCTCTACCTCTACAAATCTCTTATTCGTCCCTGTATGGAATACTGTTGTCATATTTGGGCTGGTTCTTCTAATGATTCACTTTCTCTTCTTGACAAGGTCCAAAAACGCATTGTAAATGTTGTTGGACCTGGACTATCTGCTAAGCTTAAACCTCTTTCCCATCGTCGTAAAGTTGCATCTCTTTCTCTTTTCTACAAATACTATCATGGTCACTCCTAAAAGGAGTTATCATCTCTAGTTCCATCAACTAAAATTCATTCTCGTTTTACTCGTCATTCAGCTAAGTCTCATTCGTTTACTGTATCTGTCCCTGCATGCTCTAAAAACTTTTATTCATCTAGTTTTTTTCCCCGCACTTCAATCCTTTGGAACTCTCTCCCATCTTCATGTTTTCCTGACTCATACAACCTTCAACTTTTCAAGTCTTCTATCAACCGTTTCCTTGCTCTATAACTCTGTTCTTTTTTTTCCTAGTAACTCCCAACTTAATAGTGGTTGCTTGCAGCCTTGTTGGGAGTGAATGCAAATAAAGAAAAAAGAAAAAAAAAGAGCATTATTTGTACATTCCATGCTGATTGGGAGTTTATATACAGTTGCAACAACCTCATAGGCAGTTGTCTCTGAGCTGGGAAAAAATAAAAATAATGGAATTTTGCTTAAAACATTTTTTTTGAATAACAGTTAATTCTCAATGCGGTAGTGGTGTAGTGGTAGAGCACTCGCTTCGTAAACAAGTGGTTCCGAGTTCGATTCCCACCACGTCCCTGGCAGTACCGCGCTCAACTCGTTTCTCCGCGCAGCGGCCTTGTTCGTCAAGGTTCGTGTTTCGGAGTTATAGAGTTGAGAGAGGGTTATAGCCACAAATAAGTAGCCTCCTTGTCTGTAGTGGCCGTCTCCGCCTTGAGGAGGTGAATTAAAATAAAAAATAAAAAAAAATAAAAAAATTCAACTGAGCTCTAGGATTCACAATTGGTAAAGTGTTTAATTACGATAAAATAATATTTATCGCCTTAATAAAGTTTCCTCGTATGTAAATTT